CACACACACACACACACACACACACACACACACACCCTAATTAAGTTGAATTATTTTGGCTTCTAGTTTATGGGAAAGCTTTTCCTCAACTCCACCTCCCCGCTGCCATGCACCCACCCAAGTGTCAGTCCCCAGATCCAGAAATGAAGAGCCTGGGGCAAGTTCAGAGTAACTCATCAACACTCTATTCTGCTCAACAGTTAACTCTTACAGCAATCCTTAAAGGGAGGAGACACAGGGCCTCTTCATATTTCCATGACAAGGTCATTGCTAAAAAAGACTCCATGGAATAAGCAGATAGAGCCCATACTTGTGTGATAGGCAGCATCAGCACTTTCAGCTCTGGTTCCCGGCACGTGGTAGTGAAAAGGCATGCCACTCTACACTAATGTAGCTCTCTCACTGAAGTAAACCCTGGGGCAGTAAGCTGCGGCATGGCTTTAAAACTCAATAGCATCTCTGTGGTACAATTGGTTAGCATATTTGGCTATTAACTGAAAGGTTTGTGGTTTCAGCCTACCCAGGAATGGCCTTGTTTCCAGCCAGTTTCTTGGTGATGAAAATATTCTGGAATTGATAGTGGTTATGGTTGCGCAACACTGTGAATGCACTAAATGCCACTGAATTGTACATGTTAAAATGGTGAATTTTATGTTATATGTATTTTACTACAATAAAAACAAAACCTCAATAAATGCAGTGGAGTATGCATTTTCCCAAACCTGCGCTGTAACTATATTTTTCTTACTGACATGTACACACCTACCATGTAGTACACCCTGATATGAGTGCCTATATGTGCATCAGCTTTTCAAAAATCTCTGGTCTGGGTGTTCCGAGTAGCATTTTGGTATCACCTAGAAATGTGTGACTCATCCATAGCCCCATTATGGGTTGGACTAAGTACTGTATTGCTGTACAAGCACATAAATGCCCCGACTCTTTGGCCCTAGCACATATTTGCCTAGTGTAGAAAATTCTCCCATGCAGAGGGTAGGCTGGGAATGGGATGTGTGTCTGCCCCCCCCCCCTGCATTGTGTGGCTTTCTTAGTAAACGGGAAATGAGAGAGAAAGGGTCTGTAAGAGTACAGCTAAGAGTCTTTTAACCAGTGCAACTTCTCAGACTCAGGACTCTGTTCTGGACAAAGCCAGTATTGTTCTTTTATAAAGCAAAGATCATGAAATGTGGCAGGTTTTTAAGACCTACACAAACACAGCATACAAAAGAGAAAGGGGGAGTTGGGAAAGACTCAAGAAAAAGACAATGTCCGCTGAGGCAGAAGGTGGTGGATACCTCCCAAGGAAAGGCTTCAGCAAAGCCAAGGAAGCTTCATACTGGTCAAGACGCCTTGGGGAGCAAGGAAGGATGACCTTGTACTCCACTGTGGAGGAAAGGGCTTCCTGGGCAAGTTTGTCTTTCTCACTCCAGCCAGTAGATATCAGCTGCTCCTGCTATACCATGTCTTTCTGCCAGAAACATGAAGGCTTGTGAAAGATTAACAAGCCTATGATGGCTACTGCGACCAGGATCAGGGAGAAGAGGACCATGAGGAAGATGTAGGTGGAGTGGGAGAGGGGTGCAGACAATGGCTGCTCCGCTGGGATCATGTTGGTCAGGTTCAGCATGTAGCCCAAAGTCCATCCCACGTCGCTGCTCTGGATCTGCAAACAGTGGGGAAAGCTTGTTGTTTCTGGTCTGAGGCTTACATGAGCTTTCGAGCAGCCCCATCCATAACACTTAGCAACCAGGAGAGCACCACACTCAGTTCCTTAAGTGGATTACCTCTATATTCTAAACGGGAATTTGGTCGTGGGGAAAAGGAACAGGAGCAAGTAATTAAGGAGAGTTTGGAGCCTTAACTACTATATTCCCCAAATTCAGAGCAATTTGGTGATAGACTGCCCAATTCTCCGGCCTAGAAGAACTTAAATAGGCCTTTAGAGATTTGCATTCGTCTTATCTGTGTGAATGTGGAGGTGGGAGGAGGGGAGAAGGGAGGTGGCCAGTGACAGGAAGCAGGCAAAGGCTAAGAGAATGATTGTCCCTGGCCTTTTACACCTATGTCGGGGTCAGGAGTCTCATCCATATAAAACTAGGACTTCTTAATGATTCAACTGGGGAAAAACGGAGGAATAATCCCAGCAAATTAGTCTTACTTTATGGAAGCTGGAAGACTGTGTGCATCTGCATGCGAAAGGATTCTTATTAAAGGATAAAACATGCTCCGACCCTGCCATGTTCCCAGGAATATATGCCTCAAAAGTTACTGGAATACAGTAGTCTATGAATAATAAATAATTTGAATATGTTTTTATTACATGAGTTGTTTGCATGGTCATGGTAGAAAAGTTAGAAAGTACAAATAATTCTAAAAAAAATAAAAACCACCTATACTTCACCACTCAGAAGTTGATCATTTTGTGACATATCCTTTCAGTCCTCTGTGTGATATTTTTTCTTACAAAACAAATGGAATTAAATTTTATGTGGAATTACTCAGTTAACAATATCTTGGAAACATCCTCTCATGTCTCTCAAGGGATTTCTATAACATCACTGGCATGAACTGCCTTATATGTTCATTTTTACTTACTTTATCCAATTATTTATTTATAAATCCTAGAAGGGAGTTAATTGGACAAAATGAAGTGCATATTTTAAGATTTAGCACATATTGCTAATACAGTCTCCCCTGAGGTGCTAATTTACATTCCGGCCAATACCAGTGGTGAAAACGTTCCTCTCCCCTAACCCTTTACCAATACTGGGAATTAATAATTTGTAAAAAGCCCACTTCCCTTCATGCGGATAGGAACTTAGCTGTGTGTCAAGGAAGGCCCCAGAATTAAAGGTGTCACCTGGGGCTTAGAAATACTGGATCATTCCTTGGCGTTCAGAGAATACAGATCACTCATAAATTTGACATAGACATATCCTCCAAACAGACTAAATAAACTGATGGAATGGAAGGAAGACGGGGGTATCAAAACAAGGAAAAGATTTGTGTTTGAATTAGCAAGGTGAGTCTTGACAAGAGTGTAATGAAACTCGTGTCCTCAAGGCCACTGCAGCCTCCTCTGCCTCAAGGTTTTGTTTTGCTTGAAATCACCATATTTAATAAAGCGGGTAATGTGGTTTTGCCGTTACTGAGTATGGGCTTAAAAGGTAGAGAAACACTGCTCTTGATATTTTTCAAGTATGAGTTGCCGGTGAGCCACGCAGTCCATGTCAATGTGTCTCTGTACCTGCAGGTGGCGCTGTGGTAAAGCACAGCAGTGTGGCTGCTCCCTTAAGGTCACACACACTAAGGTTGGCTTTTTTAAATGAAGACCCGGGTTCCCAGCCACTCTTCCTTTTCTTCACACTGAGCTTTCAGATTGGTCAACCTTGAAGCTTCAACCAAGAAAACCTTCACCCTTTATGAGAAGCCATGATCATCCTTTCCAGATTCATGGAAAGGGCTTTTGGGATGAATGCTTAGGTCAGCACCACACAACATCGTTGTGGCTACTAAAATACTGTTACGTTACTTTAATATCTCATGTTTTGTTTTCTGAGGAATTCGTCACTGTTAATGGAACCAGAAAGGAGAGGCTGAGAAAACAGGTAGCTCTCCTTAGATAGGATATTCACAACTGGCTGGTAGACAAACCCAGGAGGGTTTGACACAAAATGCCAGCCTAGGTTAGAGGTGAAGAGGTGGAACAGGACATCGGGCCAAAACTTAAACCAGGCTGACTCCTGGTTTAAGGCCTCTTTGCAGCTGAAAGCGGCTTCAGTCACTACCACCCAACCCCTCCCCCAACCCAACAAGTACCCAAATTACCTTGCCCATGAAATGAATATTCTTCCAGAAATCAGGTGTGAAGTGATAGCCCCTCTGAAGGAGAGAGAGAATGTAGGTTCCAGAAAAGCAGTATTCACTCAGGTACTTCTCCTTCACGTCACCAAAATGTATCTTCAGCTGGAAGTGAAGTGAAGGACGTATCATACTTGTACAACAGGCACCTCTCCAGAACCCCCTCTTTTTCCGTTAGTCAAAAGAGGGGAAAGCCCCAGCTCACACAGACCTGAGAGTTGGCCTCCCCAGAGGGCTCTGGGGGTGGCGCTGCTCTCCTTCAGTGGGTGCAGGGCTTTATAGTTTAGGGTCTGTGAGAAATTTTTCCTCCCAAGGGTTCCATGAGATAGTAAGCACTCCAGGGAAAAAGTTGTTTCTGTTCTCCAGCAGGTCAGAAACACTGAATTTTAGTATACCTTTTCATCCCTTGTGAAAAATCTTGCATGACAGAAATCCATTAACTTTGTTCAATCAGTTTTGTATTTGCTCTTGACCAGAGTCGGGTTCAGAGCCTCTAAGCATCTTAAAGAAACCGTGTCATCAAAAGCCACTCAGTTTAACCCCTGGACTAACAGCATCAGCATCTCCTAGAAGCTCGTTAGTCCTCACCCAGAACTCCCAACGCAGAATGTGATCACACATACAGTGAAGCTGAGAAACAGAGCTCTGGAACCCAGTTTAGGAAGCATTTTGCTCAGGACTGCTGAAAGTTCCAGCATCTCACCTTCTGTCCTCTGTCCTTACCTAACCTCTTTTTTTTTTTTTTTTTGCATCATGCAAAGAGGTCTTCTTGCGTCCTTAATGTGTTTACTTACCCTCCTCCTAAATGAAGATGTTAAGGGCTTCCCTTTACCTCTCCTAGCTGTTGTAAATATATATGCCCAGCTTGCTGTGCTCCTCTGCTGCCCGGGCAGCAGGCCCGACATCT